CATATTAATTGGCAATGGGGTTCCCGACCTAAATTCCATCCCGGTTTGTTGCACGTTCTTTCTTTAATATGAAATAATCAAATATGGAACATATGTAATAATAACAAAATCCCACACCCTGGCTTTCGAGATGCAGTGTATTCTGCTGTACTTTCACGTATGGCCGCAGGATACATCGCATCACTCATGGAAATAACTTCCATATGCAACGAAAGCCATGAGGAGGGTGTGGGGTTCTGTCATTACCCCTTAGCTAACTTTATGAGTTGCCAATTCATTTATTCAGCCAATTCATAACATGTCATATAGCTTATTTTAAAGCCTGCTGCTGTAACCATGGACCAGGGTTTATAAGTCCATAGTCAACTGAATCTAAAGTACAAGCATCTGATTCAATTTCTATGGGTAGCTGATTATTCACCAGACAATGGTATTATCATTAGAGTTCATCTGCCAAACTACCGTGTAAATAGTGCCAGTGTGGCCTTAATTATTTTGAAATCTGTGAAGGGTCATCTATATGCAAAATAATCAACTTCCATCATATTTATCCCATTATTGAATGGTCATTCAAGTTTCAATGATAATAACCTTTTCCTGACCCACATTGACAGAGGTATAATTAATTAAACGATAGTGGTTGGCACTCACATTTCATGTAATTAAGCTATGTATTTTTACACATGACCACGTATAATTTGTATGGGACACATGTCTAACACAATGAGGTGAGACGACCATTGTCCTTCAAAATAATTAATACACGAAGCCCGTACATGTTGAACACTGTTGTCTCTGGAGCATATTTCAGTTCAGTGCTCAACATAAAAGTAATAACAGAATGTATTGTTATAATAGACTTTATAGAACCTAGATTTTCTATATGTCTTATTTGGTTCTTTGTTCTCTGTTAACTTTCATATTAAAAGGCAGTGTTTGTGTTTGACGTGGGACCCATGGCAATGTATTTCACATAGCATGCTTTACTTATATCGGTTTCTTTTACAGGTTTATACTACTTCTTTGAGTAAATTATACGACCGAGAAATCCGTGAATTTTTTGAGAGTGCACGCTTAAGATTGCATGGTAAAGATAAGCGATTAGGACATTACAAAGATTCCAAAGAAAAGTTATTGAACAGCGGTTCATCCGGTGAAATCGGTAAAAGTAGTAGTCGATCATCATCTTTAACAGACGTACGAGGATCTGATCCTGATCTCAATGAGAGACAGAAGTTTGATAAGGTAAGATTTTAATTTGTATATTTTAACTTGTAATTTTTATTGAAATAGAGGTTTAACATTGACCAATGACAATGGATTTTGTTAGATATCTACTGGTCTTTAATATCATACTGTAGTGTCAATATTTATTGATGATACCTACACTATACCACAACTGTGTAGCATATATTTATAAATAGATGTGGTGCACTACGGTATATCAACACTGACATTGTCATCACACCATATAACCAATATAACTACGTCGACGATATACTACTCGGTACTTACCCCACAATTTTGGGGTGCGTTTATCTGTTAATCCCCACCATAGGTGTGAAAAAGTTGCGTTGGGTTGGGCACTGAACAAATAATCACTGATAGCATAGTTCAGGGACTTTATTAAGTTACGTAACTTTAGTCCATCCCAGCGTTGTGTGCTCTAAGTTTCCAATGAAATATATTTTGAGATTGTTTCATTATTTTTGCAGGCAATTCAAATATTACAAGGTTTAATCATGAACGAAATACTTGCCAATCTTTTGATTTTACATAATTGGTCGGCACGGAAAAACAGAAACAGGGAGATATTCTTGTTCTTGCTTACTCATAGTAACGTGTCACAGCATCGGGATATCAGTGAGTGGTTAGAACATAAACAACGTATTACTATACAACTTGGCACACAAGTTTCATTCTGAAAAAACGCTGTTTTTATTTCAATAAAATGTTTGGTATCCGATATTGCTACTAATCGGATATTAGTAGTGGTCTGAGATTGCACATAACGGGTATCGCACAAACCTAACGTTTTTCACAAACTTCTGTAACACGCTTTTAGTCACTGACAGGGTTATTTTTCTGTTTGAAAGTTTAATGTACACACAAAATACGAGTCGTAAAATACATGCCTGAATGAGGTATGACATCGTATGAGCTGATCTGGACGTGGTTATAGATTGTTATACCACACAGGAAGCTGTAATGGCAGCTTCAAATATCGCTATGCATCACCATACTGCTACCGCACCCTCTTTTTGGCGGTGACAATCTTGTCACAATCCAGAACACTGATGGCCTGTGTTGTTTCGCAGTGTATAGAGAACTGCGGTCTAATATTATATCACTCATGGTATAAAACTTGGGCCAATAGATCACTAATAAATTTAAATAAATTAGTTGTCCGAATTATTAGTAACATGGTAGAGTTGTATCTATAACCATAGAATCGAGCCCGTCTATGCTAAAACCATCAAAACAGTATTACATCATACCATGTCATTCCCGTAACTTCAGGCAACCCAAGTCCGTGCATGAAGGTTTCACCACTATGGTATATGCGATCCCGTCCACGGATTGGCAGCATTTTGTAACTCAAAGAATGACCGAAATTACAGCGATTTGTACCAATCCTGGATCGTTTTTACCATTTTTATCTTTGTAGACAGCGGCATTTCAGCATTTCTGGCCTATTGGTTAAATCAGCATCCTCTATGAAGGCGCGGCATTGCACGGTTCTATTCTCTGTGATTTATTAGAGAATTAGTGATAATAATACTAACATTTATCAAGCACGAGTGAAAGTGCTGGCATATCTTTAAAAAAAGGTACAATCTAGTATATTTTTCAGAACGTTGCCACAGTTGTAGCATCCATCCTATTTGTCAGCTATCCCGCTCATAGATAATATGGTCCATGACATTTGTGACATTTTCGTAAATTATGTGAGTTGTTTAAAATAGACATATTATGTAAGGAGCCTTGAAGCAAAGCGTTATTAATCAAGATTTAAGAAATTCTGCATTGGAAACATTTACTTGCTAAGCCCATTCTATCGATATGAAAACTATGACATTGAGATGGTATATATTAGGTGACAAAATCAGAATAAAGAAATGGATTCGGGTTGCGTCAATGCATAACAATTTCTTGATTCCAACGAGGCTATGACTGAGGTATGTACGACCTAGAACTAGTGCCGTATGCGAGTACCAAGTTGCGAGTCGCAAGTAGCAAAATATGCCATATGCTAGTGGTAAAAACGGCATATGCGAGTGGTAAAATGTATCGTTTGCTAGTAGCAAAAAAGCCCTATGCGAGGGGTAATACAAAGGCTTGTAACGTTTGCTTATAATATAACAACGTACGTTCAATTGTGTTTTATCACAGTAAAATCAAATATTTAGCATGGTATGAAATGATGTGTACATGGTTGGTTAAGATTGGCATGATGCTGTATCAAAA